TAAGGTCTCAAGATTTTGTTGAAGGTTACGTACCCTAAGGACACATTTTATTTTCTATTCGGGCCTTTTAAATCCAGATTCGACATTTTCAAATAAAGCTATAATTGTCCTCTAGACTAGAGATCGCGAGACTCTTCTGTGTATGTAGAAGGACAAGTGTCTGATGATGCCTCTGTATACCACAACCTCTACTGAGGCTTATGATCGATTACTATTAACAAATACATCAAACAACAGCGAACGATGACCGCAAATCCATACACATCTATAAATGTATCATATCCTGCACATTTCCCCCTGCATCCCAGCTATGTGTTGAGAAATAAACATGTCGCGTAATCGTACCTGAGACTGTAAAACAGCGGTTTATTCGGTCCTTTCCGTCCGGAGATGCAGAAATTCAAAGGTCTCTCAAACACTCACTGAATATCATTGCGTGGGTTACGCGTTCATATGCCTGTGCCACACTGGCCGTGTCTCAAACACCAGGGAGCTGCCTACATAGACCGCATTTTTGGGCGTCATAGTCGCTTTCGGCGTCAGCTGACTCGGAACGCATTAATAATCCCAAAAATGCGGTCTATGGTTTTTGAGATAACCACTGCGGAGCAAAATATGAAAAAAGTAAAAACATCTTTTACGGTAAAAAGCCATCCAGTCAGAGAAATTAAGTGTAAAAAGATGGGACCGTCCTGTTCCTCTTTCCTCCCTACGATGCGAACTATTTTATTTGTTTTTTAAATTTTTTTTAGCAGGGCATGCAATATTGCTGGAACTGATAAGCATATGTGCTATATTTTATCCTGCCATTAACCCCGGCAAATAATACAAAACCTTACATTTAGATTCTACTGCGATTATTAATTAGAAAGGGCGGGGATACCATTTCTTGATCTAAATAAGTCAAGGTATTTGAAAAAGCTATTTTAAAAATAAATAAACAACCAACAAATCAACAAAAAATATAGCGTACACTGTAAAAAAAAATAAAATCTGTAGTTTTTGCAAAATAATTTTGGCAGCTGTGGTTGCCAGAATAATTTTGTAAAAAAATACAGAAAAACAGTAAACACATTTACGGCCCAAAACGGTAAATTTGGCAGCATGAAACTGTAATTTACAAACAAGAAAATTTGAATGTAAACCAGTCAATTCAACAATGCACACTGCTATTCAAATCTGTTTTGTGCCTTTAACATACTGACAACCACCGTAATAATGCAGGTGGTAAAAGAGAAAGCCACATGAAGAATCAAAGCTCATCACAAGTAGCTTCGCCACAGGCAGAAGTATATACGGATATATAGAAGGTGCACAGAGTCATTCATGCAAACACTAAACACCACCATAACACACATGATACTTAAATAATGCATTCAACTTTCATTAAACAACAGAAGATGTAACAAAGCCCAAATATACATAACTAATAACAAAAACTATTTAAAAAACATGATTATTTAAACAAAATACTTTCAAATGTGGAGTGTCATGCAGGGAATTCTGGGAATATCAGTTAACAGATTTAAAATTAACAGCATTTTACTGTAAAATTACATGAAATGTCTGGTTAGCTATTTTACCGTTTTCCCCTGTATATCGTACGGGAACTTACTGTTAACCTATTAACAGTTTTTTTCCGTAGCGTTTTTACAAAATTTTACAGTTAAAATTACACTTATTTTTTACAGTGTATGTACATGAAGGCTTTAATCAGAAAGTTACCACTAGAGGGCGCAGAAAGGGGGAACTATGACGTCACTTTGTAGGCAAAAACCCGGAAGTGAGTTAGCATTTCAGCACTTCCGGTTCCATCATTCCAGAGTCAATAGATTTTTTTTTTTATGGGAGTTTGATTAAATCCCCTAAAATCAAGGTCCGTGGTTAACACAGGTTGGAAATATTTTCACGTTTTATTCTACGACATAAAACACACCAGTTGCACCCTACTCATGATTTTTTAAAACGTATGTTTCTTGAAAAAGACGGTTGCTCACAAGTTGCTAAATGGGACTACACGCGTTGTAGGAGACATTAAACGTCATCATGCCGAACAGTTGATAAATGTATAGTATTTTCCAGTTATAATTAGTGCAATTAAATGTAGAATAACCAATTAATAATTTCCCGCATTTTATATTGTTGTTCGACAATGTTTTTGCTTTGCCTCAAAATGCAACCCACAAGTCTTCGGATGGAAGATACTCCTTTTAATCGCTTGTTTCTGATGTGGAGACTCTGGGTTTCTACCATAAGGTAAACTCATTATTCCATGGGGCAAATTTTGCTTTAAAAAGCAATCGCAAGATCTTACAGCCTTAACGACCTAAAGACCTAAAGAAGACCTAACCGAAGATCACGTGATCACACACGGAAATCACTTCTGTGAAGTGACCATCGAATGTTCCCTTCACTAATGGACTTCTGGAAGGGCCCTTCGTGAAGGGATTCAGTTGTTCACTTTCGTTTGGAACGTCCCTACAAATGGCGTCCTCTTTAGTTAATTAATTTTAGATTAATTAACTAAAATAAATGTAATCTTACCATATCCAAAAACTTGCTCACTCTGCTGTTATTTAATAGATTAAAGGCCCTAGAATTTTATTGAATACTACGTGGGGACACGTTTTTAATTAAAATATTCATAATAATCAAGGATTTATTGGCTTTTAATGCACCTCATTTCGAAATGTACATAAATGCATGCTTTCATATGTGCTTTGGTTATGATTATTTCATTTATTCACTACTTACGATTATTTTGTTTCATTTGGTTCTAGTTTTGTATGTATTCCAGTTTTTATATGAAAAAGGTTCATGTAACCTGGATTCAAATTCATGCACAGAGTAAATCCTTTTCACTGAACATGCTTCTAAAAAGAAGTTGGAAAAGGTTGTCGGAAGCTTGGGAGAGCGACTGCGGTGTAGTTCTGAAGTTGAGCTTTTTAGTTCTGGCGCTGGTATTTAGGCTTCGGAATTCATAAAAGTTGTATTATTTTGTGAAGATTATCTCGATGGACAAAACGTGTAAGTGTCGTGAACTATGGTTGAACACAGTTAATTTTGTTTACTATAATCCAAAAGCCTATTTGCGATGCTAACAGCCGATTGGCCTACAAAGTGACGTCATAGCCCCCCCCCAACTCAATTTAGACAGCTACATTACATTTTCTATGAATATTTTGTTATTTTACATTAATAACTCGAATTATTTTAACTGCTTAACACATGACTAACCATTTTAGAGGGCACAGGCTCTTTTAAGCAGGAGTATTCCACTATTACATTTGAACATTAATCCTCCACAACAACCACCCACCCAC